GCCAAATTTAATTTTCAAAAATTTCGCAAAAACTAAAAATATCGCGATACAACTCGATCAAATACTTACCACGATCCTGTGCGTCGGTAATATTCGCGAGATGACAGGAAATCGAGGGTGTATAATCGAAACAGAAGCCAGTTAATTAGCCAACCGCAGTCACACTTTGACGCCGCGGATAATTAAATTCTGCCGATTGAAATTGAATTCGTCTAATTGATACCGAGTTCTGCTATACCGTGCCAAGACTTAATGACCGGCGTTAACGAGCCACGTTATCATTGTGTTCCCATTACACCTAGATAATTACTTATGGAAAAACAATTTCGAATTATCGATCGAGATTAGATTAATGGGATAAACTCCTTATGGGATAAAGAGGATATCCAGATATTTCTTATTTGAAATAAAATTTTAAACCCTTTATTTTGGCAATGAAAGATTTTTAAATTTAATTCGACAATTGTCACACTTGCTAACACACGTTTGTAAATTTATTATCAGAAGATATTATTGATAACAAAGATTTAATAATGTTGAAAATTCTGAATGAAATTGCATACTTGTTAATTCACATGACACGTTTGTAAATTTATTATCAGAAGGCATTATTGATAACAAAGGTTTAATAATGTTGAAAATTCTGGATGAAACATGATTAAAATATGGAAATTAAATTTAAATTAATTGCGGTTTAATTCTTTCTTAATTGCAATATTAACAAATTTTGTCAAATCGAACAACGAATTGAAACTTATTTTTATTAATTAATGATTTCATCTTTGAATTTGTAAAATCTATCGATTTATTATATGTGTTTAATTTCTGGAAAAGACAAGTTATTTACATTGATAATTTGATTCGTAATAAAGAAATGGAATAAATGATCGTTCAAAAAAATACTCGTAACATTGTTTCTCTATTTTGCGACTTGTCAAGTTATGGCTTCTAACTGGCTCAAGCTAACCTTTAAGTTTGATATTTACACCTTTAAAATTCTTATCCTTTTATTTGAATATATCTTAGAAATACAAAATATTTCACCATAGTAATTAACTTATTACTGCAACGATTCACGTTTATTTAATATTTTGTAAATGTATTTGTATTTTGTATTTATAAATAAAGTAATAATTATTCGGTTGATTATCATAGACAAAAGAACTTTACTGCATATTCTGGGCCCTGTAAAGTCATGGATAATCATATTTTAATCCCTGACCAAGGATTTCACGATAACGATGTAATCTTTCATGTGCGCGTAAACATAAGTATTGTTGGTAATCAAAAATCATGTATGTATATACATGAAATTTAACGTACCGTGACCAAACTGTAAATTAGCAGTTTCCAATGTGAATTGCCCTTGCGATTAGAATTCGTGTTAGAAAGAATTCAAATAATTTCTTAATCTTAATAACTCTTTTAATCTCCATACGCGTTATCTGAATTTAATTTTTTTATCAAATCAATTACACCTTTGCTTATATATACTTACAATTTCATCGTTCAAACCTTTATCGGATTTATTCATTCATTTTTTAATCTTTCGTAAATTTAATAACTTTGAAATCTCATCGATTCGAATGATTCGAAATTTTTCCTATTTTCAATTTTAAATTCGGAATACAAAAATATCCCGAAATTCAAAAATTTCTTCAAATTCAAATTTCTTCTCCCTTTTTTTAAATTCAAAATTAATCCAAGTTTAAACTTCGATTCAAATTCGAAAATTATCCGATTCCGATCTAAATATCCGTTCTTATTATTACTAGATTTCGAGAAAAATAAAAAAAATTCAAAATATTCGATTATTAATTCCAAAAAAAAAAAAAAAAAAGAAAAAAAAATTACGACACACCTTAAGCGATCTGGAGATCGGCCAAAGGGGTTAATTTATCTCGCAGCCTCCTCCCTCGCATGGGGCGCCGCAGATTGGAAACACGTGGTGCACCACCTTCCCTTGATGCGGCCACCACGTTGGAAACGGCTACCGTCACACCTGGACGAGAACAGAGACGGTTTTACTTCCGCGATTCGGCACCGAATGTCGCGTGGCTTCGACGAGACTGAATCGTTTCGCGACTCGTTTCTACCTCTATATGTAGAAACTCCTCCTCTGCCAGACACCGAGTCTCCCGTTACTTACTGCCAAATCGATCTGCCGACACAGTTTCCCATCCTTTTCGATTACAGCCGAGGTGAGGACGATACTCTTGGAACGCTTCGTTTTTTTTTTCTTTTTTTTTTTTTTTGAAATGAAATTAATTTAAAATTCAAACGTAATAAAATTTGAACTTACTTACGTTGGTGTTTCGCGTAAATTATTCTCATTATTTTTAATTGCGTCATGAAATGAGACAGAATTGTATTATGTCAAATGGTTCTTTTTCTTTTTATTTTGATTGAGAAATTATTTTTATCATACATTTTTATCGGGTAAAATTTTTACATGAAGTGGAAGGGATTAGTTTATTTAGGTCGGATAGTTGTTATTGAGATATTCGATTGATTACGTGAAATTCCACGTGAAAATTTATTGCGAAATATAATATATATATATATATATATATATATTTTTCTGTCTTGTTAAAATTTTGTTAAAGAAACAATAACATAACTTTTCTGCGAGTACATACAAAAATATTGAGATAAGAAAGTTTCGCTCTTTATCTCGAAAAAAAAAATTTTCCTGTCTCGAACTATTCAAGAAAAACAAACAAGGTATAACGATTCGTCGTTATATGAATATATAAAATTTATTTCATCTTTCTCGATTCAATTTCATCCCTTGACCCGAAATAATATTCTCAGTCATTATCATCCATTTGAAGGATATTCTTCTGGAATGTTGTGATATATTCTTTAAGAAAACGTTGCAAAATTACGGAAATACGGGAATTTCGATTCGGTGATCGTAAATCTATGGTGGGAACAGTCAGAATTGGAAACTTCACGGTGACAGGGATCGGTAAAAGCGCAAGTTTTATTGCGGAATACTTTCAAAGAGAATGGATTGTTATGTCACGTAGTAGTACGTGAACGAGCCTCGTCTTTTACGAGGTAAAAAAACCATGGCAATAGTTCAAAGATCTTTAACGTCGGTTTATTAAAAGCTATCTTTTTCTAAACACGTAGGGCTTACGTCTCTGTGTATGCGCATACGCCTGAACTCTTATCCTTTCTTTTTTTTTTTTTTTTTTTTTTTTTTTTTTTACGCTCGTAAGAGATAAGAGATCACCGATGATCGATCGTAGAATAATAATCGCGATATGATGATACGAGATCACGGATGTTTCTCAGTTCCCATAAATCGTGGTGCACGTACACCAGCACGTGAGCAGAATTTAAATTTTCGCTTCAATTTCTGTGAAACTTTAATTTCCTTATGTAAAATGTTCAATTTAAGAAATATTACAACAAATTAAGGTAAGAATCTAAGAATCTTTTTAATTGCAAATTGAAAGAGAACGAATAGAATGAAAGATTGAACAATTTGTAAATTGATTGAATGACGAATTGATCCGAATTGGCTTTTTATTTTTTAAAAAAACGTAGAATTATTTCTCTTTAATTTGTATCAAATGTGTTTTCAATAATATAAAATTCAAAAACTTTATATTATTATACAGGAAATTACATCGATCCATTGATTTTTAGTAATATAAATGGAGAAACACATTTTCTATATTTATATATTTTTTATATTTTCAAATATATTTTCAAAATATATCATAGTATCCGGATCTATATATAATATCCAATTTAAAAGATACTGAAAGAATTAATCCAAAAATTGTTCATTCGCTATGACTATCATTTGTTTCATTTAAAAAAAAAGATTAAAATTGAAAAACTTTCTATTACAAATCATAATGCGATTTATTGATTTTTATAAACACGTATTATATATATAAAACGTAATATGATTTTCCAATTTGATGGACATAAAAAAATAATAAATTAATTCAATTTTCAATTTTTCTCTCGTACATAATGTAATGTAAAAAATTTCGTTCTCATATAGCTCGATTTATCGTTTATGAACCGGTCAGAAATAGAGAAGGAATTATTTGCGTTGCCAAATATTCCCGCGTTATTTCTAGCCACGCGTATTCTTGCACTGTTGCAATGTTGCATAATTACGAATACACTAACAATCATTCAATCGAGAGGAAAAATTTCACGAATCGAAAAGAATTTCGATCTATCGATCGATCATTTTCTAAATAGGAATCTTCGATACCTTATCGATCCATAATTTCCATCATCGAATTGCACGATAATGAACGAGTGAGATAGCAATCGAAAAGATTCGTTTCTTGATAAAAACAGTGTTGAATTACTATTGTTTCAAAATTTTTCAATTTCGTTCGCAATTAATCGAACGAATCGTTTTTTGAGGAAAGTTTCGTAAAGAAAATGTATATACTAACGTTTTATCGTTTTTTTTAGGTGAAATATTATTTTTCTTAAGAAAATAACATATCTTTTGCATTAACGTTATAATATTGATAAGAGATAGAGAAATAAGTATGTTAATTGTCAAGTGGTTGTTACCTTGATGAGTACTTACTAGTGACGTAAGGGGGTCACGGATGACTGGAATTAAATGAGATATGTAAATTAGATAAATAGGTTTTTTTTATATAATTTTAAACATTTTTAATATTATAATAATAATATATAATAAAAAATATGAATTTAATCAATTAATTTTTTTTAACAAAATTATATAGAATATATTCCATCAACTGATATCCATCTGATACCATTGTCACTTGAAAAAATATCTATTTATAAGATTTAAGATTGAAAAAAAGACGTAATATGATTCAATGATTTTACAAGTGGAAGTATATGACAGATTCGAAGGTTAATTTTATTCTTTTCAAATGAAACATTAATTTTTTATAATAAGTTCATTTATATAAATAATTGAATATTAAAACAATAAAATCGATTTTTAAATCTTACATGTCTTTACTTGTGAATAAATCATTATTCACAGTATTATCTCTTTTCTGAAATAAAATTTCGTGCAATCGTATTTATTTCAATACGAATCAGCTATTTATATCATCTTAATTCTCATGTGATAATCAAAATGAAAAATCAAGCTGTATAAATTACTCCTGGTATTTAACCTGTCGAGAATAGATTGTAAATGGCTGTAAACAGCAATATGACATCTACGTTGACATTAGCTTTGATAAATTCCTTTGGCGAACCGATGATTAAATTAATCGCGACAATAAATATATAAACGTGGGATTTACCGATTGAGAAAAAGTAGGTAAATTCGAGCAAATTGCGCGGATTTTAGAGGATCATTTTCCATCTGTCTCAATTTTCTCATATTAATCGATTTTATCTTAACTGTGGTTAGGATTTCGAATGTGAAGCTAAGTGTATTCATGTCGATGTGAATCGTTCGATAGAGAAAAAAATAAAAATCGAAATGATTGTGATTCTTATTTATTTTATTTTCATAATCCTTCATTCATATATATCATAACTTTAACTTTAATATCTCAAAGATATTCTCAAACAAACTCTTGCACAATTAAAATAATGAAATATTGTAAAATTTATACAATTTATATAAAATACAAGTATTAAAATATTCTCTTTTATAATAGTAATAAATTTGATAATAAAGAAAGAGAGAGATTTACGTAATAAGTTTTATAAATTCTGAAATATTTACTTATCCTATTTGATTTGTAGTTATTAAATTATGCAAGAGGGTTCTGAGGGCTCTGAGGCTCTGAGAAACTTCAGAAATAACCAAAGTTTATGTCATCATATTTGTCATATTGGCTAATTTGATTCAAATTTCAATAATAAAATGAATACATTGTCATTTAATATTGTAAGAGATCAAGATCATTTTTCTTACCTATCGTGTATAAAATATTTAATAGGCACGTTCTCGATTTATTACTGACCCATTGCTCCTTTCCAGGTAACAAGAACTTCACTACAATTATACGACGAATACATTATTTATTTGTTTCTTCTTTCGTCATTAATGCTTTTCGTATTTTTTTATTTGTTATTATTTTTTCCAGTTCTTTTTTTCCACAGATTTTTATTTCACAGTTTCATCGATCATGCGTCATGTTATTCTATAAATGGAAACGCTTTTCTTTCTTTTTTTTTTTTTTTTTTTTTTT